CTCCCGTGGGAGAGCAGAGGGAGTAACAGTCATCAACCGTCGCCGCCAGAGCACACATCCGCACACATATTCCACAACACATCAATTAAATAGACATCTTAGATGAGGAGACTATAGAAACATATTAAACAGCGTTATTCTATATATATATATTTTTTTTTTTTGGGTGATGCGTAAGTGGTTAGTCTAAACTTCTGTTGGTGGTAATAAGCAACATTTACTTGCTGCCAGCCTAACCCCTGGGTCGGTATAGTGAGGGGGGGAGGTAGAAGCCTTACATCAGGACTATATGTTTGCCTGTTATGCCGCTGCCGGGTATAGCTAGTGTTGTGGGAGAATAAGAGAGATTGCCCAGTTTAACGTTATTCCCGAGGAGGTTGCGAGAATTGCGACAGTTGGCTGGCAGTATATTTGTTAGGGATTGGTATTTAGGACATTGCTGCTCTATATCATACCCAGGGGAAGTTCACCCCATAGTGGGATGAGTTTAGCATTATATGGATACGGTCACCTGGTGCTTAGAAGTGCCCTGAGAGCCCAGGAAGTAGATGGCTCCGAGGAACATTACCAAGTCTCTGGCAGCGTGGTAAAAACGTTCATGTCAACATGTCCCTTAGTCATTCGGGTAAGGCTTTGTTTAGTAGCTGGCGTCCCGGAGGTGTCAGCTGATGGTGAGGTGTTGGGCCTCGTAGCCCTAGCTGGCAGCAGTTCACAGTGTGTGCGCAGGGTTGGAATCTGTTCAGTGTTGCGCCGGGTCCTGGGTATCTGTTCTTTTCTTCTTGGGCGTTTGTTGCCATCGGGATCTCTGCGGCAGCTGAGGTGGAAGTGGCGTTTGTAGCGGTCCGTACCAGTCCGAGATATGTGGGTCTGTGAGGTTGAGGGCTTGTGTGAAGAGTGGTATGTCCGCATGGGAGTGTATCATGTGCTGAGTGCCTTTATATGTGACACTCAGTGCTAGTGAGAATCACCACCTGTATCTTAGGTTTCTGGATCTTAATTGGTCTGTTATTGGTCGTAGCATCCGTCTCGCTTGTAGGGTCAGCCATGAGAGGT